AGGTGCTGGCATGAAAAAGAACCCTCACTGCTTAAAGGCCGTAAGTGCCGAATATAGGCCTAAATTTGCAGCTCTTCAACGGTAAGTGGTGGGTCTCCATATAAGTGAAAGATATTCTCGAGGGGGCGATAAACAATAGTCAATCAATCAATCAATCAAACTACCTTTCTTTGTTTTAAACAAAGACAAGCTACTGACATTTAAGTTGATGTTACCAGAATTTCAAAAACCACGTTGAAATTAAGAATTCTCGGTATACGTAAGTATCCTTCTTGGCACCTGATTCCACCAGAATTTTCAGGGGTTCATGTTCATTTCCTATTCACATATTTGTTCGTTTTCGTCACCCTTTAAAAAAATACATATAATATACCACCTAGATATTTCATAATGCATCCGCAAATTTCATGTACTGTAGGTTTCCCAACTTCAAAAACCAATTGTCCTTTTCCTGCTGAAGACACCATTCAGTAGACAGTAATAACCACTCTTTTAATTACACCCAACAGCTTTTCTACAGTCTATAAAACCCAGACCAAAGCATTTTCCAATATTAAACAATGATTTTAAGGACGTTCGATCCTGCATCTTAGAGTCGATTTTGGTTTGGACCTTTATTTCTATAATTCTAAATCATTTTTAAGTTTTAACATTGAATTTAGATTCTGCAATGCAAATTATACTATATCCATTTCAAAAACCGCAATTAAATTCCATTCAAGTAGGATTAAGCCAGGAACTATATTTTGGGCGGAGATTTTTAGATTGATTGATTGTGTATTGTTTAACGTCCCTCTCGAGAATTTTTCACTCATATGGAGACGCCACCACTTGCGGTGGAGAGCTGCAAATTTTGTCCTATATTCGGCACTTAGGGCCATTGAGCAGGAAGGGATCTTTATCGTGCCAGAACCTACTGCGACACGGGACCTCGGTTTATACGGTCTTATCCGAAAGACCAGTCTCCACGTCCCACAGTGGGATTCGAACCCGCGACGTAGAAGGTTTAAGGTTTTTAAGAAGAAAATTATCAATTTTTCCTTTTTGAACTACCTATACAGTACTGTTAATTTTAGATTCCTATTTTTACATGCTGGTTGCACAAAAAGCAGTTTTTTGCATTGAAATGTGTTATACTTGTTCTGAAATATCTAATAAATTATTTTTTATGAATTCTTTTGACGAAATATGACAAATATAGTAAATTTTAACATAAAACTGACACATTTAAGTAATATTTAAAAATTAACGTCGAATACCCCCAATGTTGATGTCTTTTCTGATAACTTTGACCTGTCTGCTTAAATTCAGCACAAGTAATTTTCTTGCTTATTTAATTTTCAATGCCAGAAAAATCACATTTTTGTGAGTGCATAAAGGTCAAATAATTGAATACGCGAAGCAATTCGAAACTTTTTCTTCGTCACAATTTTAAAGTGTCTTTTTTTTAATAGAATGATAGTTTACTTTGTTCCATGCTTTAATTGGATAAAAATATTGGAGGGAAAACATTGAAGATGTTATTTTTTATTAAGACACATATTTCAGTACAATTAGGTCATATTTAATGTACTGTAGCGCCAAAAGAAGCATATTGTTCCCCATATTTTGATTTGATTTTTAATTAAGCTATGTGTTTAGAGAGTAAAATATACTTGACAAAAACGTTTAAGACTTTAAATAACAGGAGCCAAGGTCGTTACTACATTTTCCTTTTTTTGTTTGTAAATTCTTATACCATTCTTTTTCATAAAAGTAATTACGTTCGTTTTTTTCGTACCAGTAAATCAGTAGATCGGATTTTTTCTCCTAGTTTCTTTGAGGAACATTTAAAAGTTAGTCTTATACTCAAATAGTAAGAAAATATCCCTTTTCTATTTAAAAAAAAACCAGAATTCTGAATTTGTCCATCTCCTTAATTTACTGTATATGAAAATATGAGGATTTTCTAACAGTACATAAATATCATCTGAATGCAAGGCAAATTAACTTTTACTGACGTGTGTTGATTTACCACTATGTGAATTTGGACACATAAGCAAATTTTCGTCGTTTGAGTAGAGTATTAATTCTTTTAGAGGTTAGGTGTTGGAATTTCCATGGGCACAAATTGCTACCTTAATAAGCAGATCTATTTTTGTATTCACATGAAGCAAAATTTATTCAGAAGCAGAAACTCCTTTCAACTTGAAATACATCACTGACATATTTTCAATAGTTACTACCACTTCTATGTCAGCCCGATGCATCCCTTTGAGCTTGAAATAAATATATCATTGATTCTGACACATCTGTTTTACTACAAAATATACATTAAAAGTAAACTTACAACAAATCGTTATGAAATAAAACGTGAGGACTTCAAAGAACTATATGCGGTATTAACCAACATTTGCCCCCCAAAATCAAACTTTGATGGAGTAATATTTAATTAAGTCCTTAAACAGGGGAGTATATGCTGACTTCAAAGCACTGAATAATTCATAAGTAATGACGTTATATGTACGTAATGACGTCACAAATATGACGTAATTTCAGTTTTTTATGAATTTTGCAGAAAAATGTACATATTTCGTCGATATTTTAAATAAAAGTTTTGCATGTGTGTTCAGGATAAATATTTTGATATAATGTGTAGAATGATAATATCAATGAAATATGTCAATATTGTTCCTGAACACACATGCGCTATAAATTTTAAAGCTTAAATTGTTGAAATTTTGTCCATTTTGTCCTCTTTCTGAAAAAGGATATAAAATCGGACTAGTTTGTGACGTCATAAAAACAGAAATTGTGAATACACTGCTCTGGAACTATAATATTTTCTGTTAACTTATATTTCTCGTACAATTTATTGAATTCAGCACATTTCAGGAAGTTTTCAAAATTTGACTTTTGTGGGGGCAAACATATGCAATATACCGCATATAGTTCTTTTCAATCGTCAATTCCTCTTACCTACGATGCAATAAACTCTTATCACCTGCATTTGGGTTTAAATCTCTCACTTGAATTGATTCCTTTAAGTATGAAAACTTTCAAAAACAGGACAAGCGATTGTCAAAAAAATTGATGAAACAAATCGTTTGAGGTAATCATTTTGCAGGTTTTGGTCGATACAATAATCTTGTTACCAAATACAACCTATCACTAAGTCAAATGCTGACTGATATTTTTTCCAATTAATTGCTTGATTTTGTCCCCGCTTTCTCAACAAGAGGCACAGGGCGGGTGTAACTGGTCAGCAGTGGACGCTTACTCCTCCATGGCACCTGATCCCATCTCTGATAATTTTGATGGTTCATTTTTGCTCTTTGACTGATTTGTATTGTTTGGATGAACCTAGAGCTTGAATATTGATAGTTTTTCCCATATTCGATCGCGCAATACTTAGAATGTAATAGTATCTTAAAAAAGAATATCTTTAATTAACATTCGAAAGTCTATTTATTTACAAAATTATATCTTTTTCAACACTTTAAAAACTGTCTTTTTTCTTTTCCTTAAATGCATAATTAGTTCTTGTTCTTAAATGTATAATTAGAAGTAAAAAGCGTATTAAATTTAACAAATTTGATGCTGGTTTTTGTTGGCGGCGTACAATACCGTTTTTGCAAGATTACGACTGTATGCTTGATAATGATTTGTTCATGCACTGTATATTTTGTTACAACACCTATCAGAGTGAAAAAAAAGTGAAAATATTATGAAAATATTAAGTTAACAAAATTATAAACACATTACAACCACGTGGTGATATTTATTTGGAACATCTTATAAAGATATACATGTAAAGTTCGTATCACAAATAGGATAACAGATCTTAATGTGACTAATATCACTAATTAATACATGTACAATCACAGTCGTCAATTATATACAGAAAAGATGAATGCACCAAGTCGTGAAGTAAAACAACAATCTAAAAAAAATTACATGAATAAAAAATAAAAATTTCTAATCATTGAAGATTATATCAAGGAAAAAATATGCATGTATATATATCATGCAGTTTCAAGATATAATAAAGACTATAATTGTATATTGAAGAAATAAAAAAAAAAAATACAGTAACGAAACTGAAATAATGCTTGACTCAGCATGATGCATAATCTAATAGTATTCTACTGTATGTGAAACAAATTCAGTATTATTTGAATATTTGTCAAACCTAATACAATATATAGAGAGAATCCTTTCATTGTAAATGATTATACATAGGATTTAAGAATCCATCATGATGTAACAGATCATAGATTTGCAAGCCTTTTAAGGACGTTGCAAAACATTTAATGACAATGGAAGATAAGACAATTGATATCACTAAAAACTCTCCTTAATTTAAAGTGAGTAGATACTAGGTATAACATTACCGGATTTGATTGCTAGATGTGCCATAAAATGATTTGATTACCAGGTACCGGAACAACATAAAGTGATTTGATTACAGTGTGTGACATAAAGTGATTTGATTACAGTGTGTGACATAAAGTGATTTGATTCATTATGACTAGGTATAACTTTAAGTGATTCAATAACTAGCAGTTCATATACATTATAATTTGGCACTGTGCCATTCATAAGTACATCTAATAAACTCTTATTCTTCCTGATTTATTCTTAAAATATATTTCACCGGCAGCTTTTGTGCAAAGCTATGAATATAATGAAATAAGGTTAAATCAAAGGATGATCAACAATGTTTTTAAAAATGATTCAAACATTGTTCATACCATTATAAATGAACGAATACAGCAGTGCTTTAGCATTCAAACTTTAAATACAGGCTAGCTTGAGATTTCTTTGCAAAATAAAATCTATAGATTGAAGGATATCATTGATAAAACAATACAAAATCTTTCAGATGATATTCTCAAAGGTTAGAAAAATCATTAAAAATGATATATTGCTTAAAACATCTCTGTTTAAAGGTTCTGAAAAATCATTAAAATGGCATATTGGTACATGTACTCAAAAAGTCACTATTATAAATCTTTAAAAACTTTAGTAATACTCTATGAAAAAGAGTAATGAGATAAACAAAAATAATGAGTATTTCAATAAAAGTTGCATTGAGATTCATTGCATTAACATTTAAAAAACATTTTGTTCAATTCAAAGAATTTATATAAACGGCAAACAAACTTAAAACTATAACACTCTTTAAAGCTGAATCAAAATACCAGCTGAGAGTTCATGTAATCAAAATATACAAGAACACTCACCTTTACATAACATATTATTTTATATTCAAAATTAAAGACCGTTCTTACAAAGATCTTTTCCTTGAGACCACTTGATTTTTGTCAACACGTCACTTCCTATGACTGCGTCATAATGAGGCTTGTCCTCTCACACACTATCTTGTCCTGAACCAGCTGATCTTCTTTATCGTCTCTTGGTATACTTTTCAGTGGACTTTCTTCTGTGATTTGATCACGAGTTTCAATGAAACTTGTCGATTCTTTTGAGTCATTTTCACTCAAAAACCGATCAAATTCCTGGGCTGTTGGACTTTCAATGTCCACCACGATTGTGCTTCTGTCTTCACGTGGCCTCATCAAATATCGGCGTGGATAGACCATGATGATTGCACTGGCTGTCATAGATACCGATGCTAAGAGAAATGGATAGTGGTAATTTTTGGTGTTCTCGTACATCCAACCTGAAAAGTTATTTTGAATCTTATTATTTAAAGTCATACCACTTATTCTTATCGTTTTCAACGTCTCTTTATCTTGCTACATTTAGTATTGTTCACATATAATGAGCGTTAAGTCGATTATTACTTGATTAAGGGGGAAAAAATGGAGAACTACGTATTTTAAAATAGTTTCAATAAATTTACACCAAAGGAAAGAGAATTCTGCCCAAGATAAAATTTAAAAAATATATTTGCGTTGCTCTAAAAGTTTTCAACGTATTTGATTATGGGCTAGTGCACATCTCATGAATTTTATGTGAAGTTTATGTACATTTCCTTTTAGTGTATTTTCTATGGTTTAATATAGGATGCACATATATTTCATTCAAGAAAAAATCAGTCTAATCACTACCTGCCACAGGAGCTCCGAGAATTTGGCCTATAGACATTTTAGCTAAAACTACTGCATATGGAAGGGAAAGTTTATTTTGCCCAAACATTTCCATCAGAATTGCCGGAATTAAGGATCCTCCATTGGCGGCCATGCTCGCCCCAAACAAAATACAGTAAACTACTAGTCCGCCATAGCCAGTGTCCACCAGCAAGAATAAAGTTGACAGACCACCAATTAAATAAAAGAAAATGTACTGATTTATAGCCTTGAAGATAGGATGGACCTTGTGGAAGTCTGCAATGAGTCCCTGTGATATTTTGGCAATGGTGATAGAGATTCCAATGATTGAATACAAGATTGCAGCATCATTATCGTTAATATGCAAATGAAACTGTGCGTATGCTGCAAGATGTCCATATATTATTGAAGAACCAAAGGCAAAGAGAAAATTATTTGTTGAAACGAAGTGGAAAACTAAACTCTTGAGAAACGTCCAGTCATTTGGTTCAGGTACATGTGATGATGCACGTCGCCCCTTCTTTTTAGTAGGATTTTCATTTTCATCTGTATTTGGAAGAGGACGATAGAGAAGTCCAAAAACACACATGTGAAGAGCAATTCCTCCCATCATCATAAACATCCCCTTCCAGCCATATTCGTTCTCCAGATGTCGAACAACTGGCGGGAAAATAAAGGCGCCGACTCCGCCACCGGCCGACGCCACACCGACGGCAAGGTTCTGTATCTTTCTATGCTGGAAATACTTTGGCACAGCAAGACTCCCACTCATATAGGCAATTCCACAACCTGAACCTTTAAATAATTCAAAAATGAATTTTTAAAGTATGATAAAACAGCTCGCTGTACTAAGTGAAAGTACGTCTGCTCAAAACTTTGCCTTTTGGTTTGTTTCTCTTAAATTAAATTGAATTGAATTGGTATGCCTCAAAATGCAAACTTTTGAATGTAACAATTTCAGGGAATTTAGGAACAGTAAGTGTGGATTTAACCTCATATGGTTGACAATTTTATATGAATTCGTAGATCAGCAGAAAAGGTCATCTAGACACATTTGTTTTTGATGAATGGCCAATGGAATTTCATTTAAAAAAATGTTAAGTACATGTACTAACGGAAGTAAATTTTGATTCTTTAGTAATTATGCGATTTTATTTCTGTTCCCTGAGATTTACATCAAAGGATGACGGTAACGTTAGTCTTATTGATGAATGTTTTATTCTTAAACAGCAAACATTTCTTACATAAATCAAAAATTAATTGAGGAAAAGTTAAATATGTTCACCATATGTTTTTCACGTAATTGAAATAAATAGGTATTTGAAATCGTGTCTATACGTTTTGCATAATACGCTTTCAGATTTATTTACTTAAAAATAAATGACAGTTTGTAAACAAAGTGTCTGACTGGGTTTATAAATAATTAAATCTGGTATGTTTTGCATACCTGTGATTACTCCGTAAAACAAACAGAGCAGGACGAGGTTGGTCGATAGAGTACTCAGAAGGAGGCCTCCACAGGTCAGAAGTCCCCCACAAAAAGTCACCACTCGCCATCCGAATTTATTGACCAACACTCCCGCTAGTGGCGCTGGAAAGAAAGATTTTATGAAAATAAAAAGTTTCCATTTTACTACAAAAAAAATCATTTAATTCTATTGCTTTATTTGGTTATTTCGAAGGTTAAAGTATATTTATAAACGTAAAGATGAGTGTAGTGAAATTGAAATTTTAAAAATATATTAATAATTGTTATTTTAGTAGGTGTGAGGTTATGATTACTACATTTTCTACGGGTAGCAAATCTTTTTACCGATGTGATACAGCGTGCTTTTTGAACAGTTCATTATCTTTTTTTTTTCATTAAAGGAACTTGGAAAATATTCTACCTTAAGTGACAAAAGCATTGACACTGCACCACCACATTTGCTGTCCTTTTTCAAAGAGAATACATGTATGATACTAGAAATCAGACTTACTAGAATGAGACGTCGTACAACTGACTTCAATGCGTCCGATACTTCTCTAACCTTTATTTACCAATATGGACTGGAAAAAACGTTGAGAAGAGAAACTTTAGTTTAAAAACAAAGACAATCTTGGTTTGTTGTATACGTACCTCTCTTAAGGTCTCTCACACAAGTTTCCTGAAAAATTGCAAAGTTACCTCTTCTGCAATATTGTCGTCTGCTGAAACTTACTAATAAGAAAGGTCATTGCAGTAATCAGTGACGAAATCCATGATGTCTCTGCTGCCCCAGTCTTAAAATTCTCAAGGATGACAACGTAGACCACACCAGAAGTGTAGGAGATTCCATAGACTAGGATCCTGATTACTGCAGCTGCAAGAACCACGACCCATCCGTAGTACAAGTTGTCCAAACAGGTTGTCATCTTTACCTGCTACGTAAGTATTGCCACCTAATCTTAACCTCATAGTCTGAAACTGAAGAAGCATATCTGTTAAGTTATTATGTTATTTTAATGTTAGATGGTGTTTAATTATTTATTTTTGGATATGTCAACGTTAGTAAAAACAAAGGTACATCAAAGCGTATTTTGAACAAAAATTTGAAGGGATGTTTATTCAGAACTCATGGCGTCTCTCATACTTCCCCTTGATGCATAAAATTGCAAGTTTTGAAGATTGAATATCCCATAATGCCCAAGATTTAATTTAACTAATAAAGATGTACATATATAACAATTCACTACAGAAATCCAGGCACCACAAAGAGCTACTTTTAGATGAAAAATTTGTACCTAACATGCTTAATAAACGAAAATGTTTGAAGAGTTTTGGTTTTACGCTGAACTTACGGTAAAGTATTTCTTAATATTTATCATGCAAATTTTATTCATGTATTTTATATTTAAAACATTGATTCACAGCGTTCCGCTTTGGTGTTCTGTCTCTTCATCCATCTGTTTCCGAGGATGCGTCAGCTGACAAGTACATATAGTGAGGGTCCAAAGTCCACAATGTAAAGTATATTACCATGAGTCGGTTTTCAAACAGATTCTTATTATATACGTATTGTATGTATTTATTTACTTATTTATACATTTTTACTTAAATATACTCTAGGAGTAAACCTAAGTTTGCAAGAAAATAGATTAGAGTTCATATGAAGTGTTTATAGATTGAAAAATCTGAGAGGAAAAATTGTATTTTTCTGTTCTATTCGAGTGTACAAGTACTTGTAGAAAGGACCTTTACCCATCATCACTCTTCGGAGTTGTTCATTGCTCAAATTAAAACACCTCATGTCAACAGTATTAATATAATCACTGTGATGTTTATCATAACCTGCAACATGTATCAATTGATCAAAGCTTCTCAATAACTTTTTATCAAATATGATTATATTGAGATTCCCTTTCGGATACCAATGGATGAGTATATACAGAAAGGGCAATTTCATCAGCATACCTGAAGCTTTTAATTTTTCAACATCTGTCTTTTGGGTTTAAAACATACCAAGGTAAATTATGAATAGAGTTGACATACATAACAGAGTCCTTTAAATCTAAACAAATTGTAAAGAAATCTTTTATTATTCCCACTCAGCTGATGTCACTTCAGTAAACAGTCATCGCATTGATATTAGGAAGGACAGTGGGAGGACCACTTTGTTTCTCCCTCAATTCTTACTTACTCAGCCCCTCCCCATATTAATGTTATTATCACATGTATTTTGCACCTTTTGGATACAATATTATTTTAAGACGTTTGACAGAGACTTTACAGTGCATATATTGAGTATGTGTGATACACATGCACAACTCAACTGAACAGCTCAATATTTACATGAACGTCCAGTGTGCGTGAAGACCTTGATTTAATAATACATAAGTAAATGAGGCTAGCCGACTTCAGTCTCCAATATATATTCAAAAACAGAGAATGTGACAAGAATTACGAGTGGAATATACTTATCAATCGTGAACTTACCTCATTTTCATTATGGCGGCAGCAAATGCAATATAGCAACATTGTTTAGTTTAGTTCACATAATTTGTGTTGTGATGCGCATGCATTTTGCTGCCTACAAATCGATGAACGAGTAGAAACTCTTGATCACGTGTGAAGGGCATGCTACATAAATAACACACGGAAGTTATTACTTAAAATTTAAAGTTGTTTGGTATACAAGTAAAGTGGCCTTAATACATGTATGTTGCAAAGTTGATTTTTAAAAATCACAACACTTAACATAAAAGAGACAAAAAAAAGTACAATCCTAACCGTTCTAAGAGAATAAAAATGTTCAAAAATATATACTGTCAGGTCAAGGATTAAAATTTATTGAACTCTTTCAGTGTTCCAAAACGGTAGAGTTCAGCTGATTTAAATGTTCACAACTTAACTTTCAACTGTTGTAATTGGAAACTGACCATAATACTGTAATTAAAAGTTACAACTAACTGTCCTCCACCAAATAATTTTATCTTAGTAAAGGTTTACTTACTTTTCCATGTCAAAATTATTCTGAGTAAATGCTGGGGTTGGCAGATTAATTAAATATTGTTTTATTAAACCACGTTGTCACGTTACATGACCATGGATTAAAATAGTTAAATCTCAAACAGCACTCGGTTCAAAGTCCATTGCTTTTTAACAAAAGGATGTGTGACTCTGTTTAAGAGAGGTACTTGAAGTGAGCATATCTATTTAAATAAAATTCTCAATCGTAAAAATTTAAAATATATATACACGTTTTTGTTAAATTTTATTTTTTAAGGAATATTTTATCCTTGGAGTTTCTTTTCTGCATATTGCAAGACTATATGTTGGTGGAATCGGGTAGGGGGTCGGACGAGAAAAGAAAAGGCATTAAAAACATATTTGGATTTTGTTGTTTGAAAAGTTAAAAGAAAAAAAGAAAACTTCATGTTATGCCATAACTGATAAATACACATCCAAAAATGCTTATTATATACGCTGTCATGTATATTTCCAACAATAAAAGATACCAGTTATATTTATTAGCTTAACAAACAAACAAAAAAGTGATGCATATATAATTTGTTTTTTTCCAATTACATTAGTTGTAACACGCACTTATCAAATCTTTGAAACATTAAAAAAAAGCTTTACATTATCTATGATGTTCAAATTTCTTCCTTTTTTCCCCTCGCCCTTTAAAGCTATAAAATCTTGTATTACTGTTTACAATTACTTTATAATTGAGGAATGAAATAAATAATGAAACTTTATGTACATTCGCTAACCAAGGCTTAACGATCCTAGGAGCGCTCCAAGAAGAGGATCGTAAACCCTTGTTAAGCAAAGATGTTATAAACATGGATTATTTTTAGTTTTAAATTTCATGATTTTTTATCTAAGAGTGTTTCTACCATGAAATATATAGAGATAACAAACAATATTCAAGCTCAAAAGTTAATTAAACAAAACAAAATAGGACCATGTGTCCATAAAGTGTCAGCTCACGACTTGAAATGGATATTCACTTTCCAGAAACTATATGTATGTCACATACTTCTTTGTGGCAAATTGCAACGAAAGTGAAACGTTCTAAAAAAACTTTAATGAACAACAATCAAGCTCAAAACTCCGTAGGTCTCTATATGAGTGAAATAAAATAGAAGGGAGGTAAAACAATTTACAATCAATAAATCAAAAGTTCAATGAAACAATACAAACTGGGAGCCAAGCAAACAGGGAATCCCAAAAACTTCAAGGTCGGACTAGGAGTCACACAGGAGAAAGCGTCCCTTGTCGATCGGTCATATCCGCCTGATGCTCCGTGTCATAACCATTATTTTTCAAGTAATTGGAAGTAATTGCAAATAATGGCCAAAGAATTTGCTTTAAAATCGTTAGTCAGCATTCGACTTAATGATAGATTGTACAAGTAACAAATTCATTGTATTGACCTCAGAACTTACGAAATGTTTATTTTAAATGGGACATTTGATTTCCTTGTTTCAATGACTTGCTTCATGAAAGAAATTGCACGTACGAAAAGCCTGCTCTTGCATATCGAATCAATTTGGAGACGTAAACTTCATATACAGGTGAAAAAGTTATACTGCTATATAAATAAGGGAAGTTGACGACCTACAAAATTTGATTTCTGTCTTTAAAAAAAACAATCATGTTTGAATTAATGCAATTGTTCAATATTGAGAACTATAAATGTACGTATATGTATAACCTTGGTAAATATATTTATTATAGCTTGAGGGGAAGAGGTGATCTTGTATTTTTGCCTTCTTTTATTTCATTATTATTATTTATGTACGTACGTACACATTGTTCTCCTGTCAATTGTTCACTTCTGTACTGTATCTGATTGTATTACTAGTATATTGTATATACTGATAGTCTGTAAAGCTTAAAGTAACAATAAAGAACATATATTTTATTTGAAGTTATTGTTGTTTTTTTTTTTGTTGTGTTACCATGGTTTTTTTCTGGAGCATTTTTTCATTTGCAATTGGTAATTTTATCCAAATATTAAACAATATATATTATGTCAATGTTAAAGTCGTAACAATAAAGAACATATATTTTGACGTTATCACTTTAACTTTGTTTCTTGTTAGAGTACCATTAACATTTTTTTCCAGTAAAATATACAAATATTAATCAAATAATTATGTCAGACTCTGTTGTATTTCATTTTCAAGCTCATTGTACATTTAATTCGCATATATTTCAATATAGAGTTAAAAGCCATGGCAAATGTTTTCTTCGTGTCATATACGTTTTTTGAATAATTTCTGCTTTATATGAATAAAAAAATATTTCTGCTAATAACGGAGTGCATTTAGTGCCCATATGGGATTTTTGACAGGTTGTTGAAGGTCTTGATCTCCAAAAACTACATTCAAAAAATTAAGCATCAACTTTGGTATACGATAAGAATGTTTTTTTTTTACAAAATGCAAATGACCAATGACAAGGAAAATCAATTTTGAGTTCCATCATTATTGGGAAAAGCAGTTGTCTAAAATGAAAATAGGTAAGATTTTATTTTAATTTTCTAATGTCCTTGGAGTTTTTAATTATCCACATCCGATTTACACAATTTGTTAGATATATTTTATACAGTACTGATTTTTTTTCCCCGCTGCTATTAATTAAATAAGAGTTCTTTCTATTTGTAATTTTAGTATCCTTTATCAACTGTGTCATACAATGATCAAGATCTGAAAATAATAGAAAACTATAATAACAACTGTAGTAACTAACTACTGATAAACTATAATAAACTGTAACATTATCCTATATCTCCCCCCAAGTCTTTTGGTAGGAAGTGTCCATTTAGTTTATAAATGAAGGAACTGAATGAAAAAGACTGATATTTAACACATGATAATATTAATGGCTAATGATATGTCAATTATGGGCTGTAATTCACTGTTGAATGTCTTCATTTATGCACTCCATACACTGATTGTAAAGTTCATGTTGTGTGAGTTTATTCGCAAACAAAGTCTTTTTGCCATTCTGGAGCATGTCTGATGCGGCTGGTACGTCGTGGCAGGGTAGGTGTGGACTCAGTCGGTGGTGGTGGAGCAACCGTTGCTTCTGCACAAGGTGGTTCTCTGGCAACATCTGGTGGTGAGCTGGCATCTTGAGTCCTTGGCTCAGTGTCTGTGAGCGGATGGCATGGTTTTTGCACCTTGAGAGGAGTGGGTGTCTCAGATGGGGATTCGGTGGCAGGCACGGGTGACTGTTCCTGCATTGTGACTGTTTTCATCGGTGTTGTTGATCCAGGCCTCACTGCTGTGTCCATGGTGAGAGCGGGGAATGTGACAGGCCTCAACAGGGAAGACAATGGTGGATGTGCCTTAGAATCAGTTTCTATGGTAAGTCGCTTTGGTGACAACTGAACTGGAATATATTTGCGAAGAAATTTCCTGTTCCGTAAGGTGACACGTCTAGAGCCATCAATGCGCACGACATACTGGTCAAACTGGCGCACCTCAATGACTACTCCTGTCTTATCCCACTTGCGAGGGAAAAGTCCAATTTGGTTCTGCATACGAACATGGTCTCCAACTGAAAGAGGTGGTAGTCTTTGTGTATGTTCCGATAGTCTTTCTGCACATTGCATATGCCTGTTGCGCAATGCCTCTTCACGGGCAAGAGATGTGCTTTGCCATGTTGGATGAGGCTTGTATTTCCCAGGTGGGATTGGGATGAAGTCTCTTATTGGTCGACCAAATATGCATATGGCTGGAGAGAGCTTCGTGTCTCTGTCTGGTGTATTACTGGATTGTAGCATGGCTCGCTGGAAAGCGTCTGTGTCAATGTCACCAGAAGAGCTAGTATTGTCCATTAGAAGGCGCTTGACTGTCTTGACTCCAATCTCTGCTCTGCAGTTACTGTGGGGGAAGGCTACTGAGGATAATCTATGATGCACACCCCAGTCACTAAGGAACTGCCTTGTAGCTGTAGCTGTGAACTCTGGTCCCCCGTCAGATGCAAGTTCGTCAGGTATCCCGTATGTGACAAAGATGCGTCTGAGACAAGTTATCAGTCCTTGAGCTCCAACGGCTGACTGCTCTACGATGGGCCAGTTTGAGTAGCGGTCCACAACCACCAGGTAATGGTTACCTTTGTAAGTAAAGTGATCAGCACAGATGCACTGGAAGGGATACTCCGGGCTCATTGGTGGAACTGGTGGAGCACTCGGGTTGGACGGTGCATTGCGGTTGCATTGTTGGCAGTTTGCACGAAGAGCGTTTATGTCCGGCGTTATCCCTGGCCAAAATACAGATGTTTCAGCTCTAGCTATCATGGATGTAACTCCTTGATGGGCTGAATGTAAGGCATCTAGGACTTCCTTCCTTAGTGATTGCGGGATAACTATGCGGTCCTTGTACAGAATAACCCCATCAGTGGTCGACAAGCCTTCACGGTACTGGAAATACTGTCGTAGAGATTCTGGTACTTCATGACGGTGCTGTGGCATTCCACCTTCTATGATCTCACTCAGTAGCAGCATATCTTGGTCACTGGCTGTAGCTACACGAACTCTGTCCCAGGTCACCGACTTCAGGCCAAGGGC